TGCGCAGCAAGACAAGTTGGAGTTAGCAAGACTCATGCAGGAGATGCTCCTCGATTGCCTTTGAAGACAATGAACCATGGGCTCCTTTTATTGAACGCTTCTAGATAATAGCGTGGATAAGCAGACTCAGTTACATTTTCCCTTCAAATATGTATCTGGGCTAACGTGTCATACAACAGCTTTTCTAAAGGTTTCGGATTACGTCCTGTCATCCTTGAATGCTCTGACACGCGAATCGTTTGCGATAGCTGTGATGAATAGAGCAAGGTGTTGGCGAGAGCAAGCCTCGATTCAAGTCACACTGTTCTCTCATTAAAATAAGACCGAAGGTGTCATTCCGCTGAAAATTCAAGACACAAAGGTATTTCGATATTTGGTGTTGAACTCGCGTCAAGATGATGCATCCACTCGTACCTCAATCGTGAGCATGGAAATCGAAACAACTTGTGTCGCTTCCGCCCTTCACGCCTTCGTATGTCCATACTACAGCTCGCATCCTTGAAGCTGGAAGGCAGCAACAGCTTGTACACACGCTCAGTAGACTCAACATCTCCATCTGTGTCGAGTCGCTCAGAAGAGCTGATTAATGTGCCGCCATGTCACACCTTTTTTTTTTTGCCAGACTTGGGAGCAGCAGTTACAACTGTGTCTGCTCTCGGAGAGGGGGTATACGTACAAGAGATTTGTAGCTAGGCAATTCAGTCTTTAGCATCATACGTCGACAATCACTACAACGTGCACCGCGTCCAGATGCTGATAGCGCCCAAGGAATGAGCAAGATTCGCTCTGATGCATCTTTGTCCGAAGTCTATTGACGATGATAGACGACAGCTATGTATCGATGTCAAGTGTGAAACCAGATCATCCTGTGGTCTTCTAGTTCATTTCGAACGTCAAATTAACTCTTGCAATTGCACCGTTGCCTCTCTCCATCCGCTTTATCTCGTGAGATTGATTCTTGACATGTTCACGGGTCTCTTGTGCGGCTGTTTTCCATACCCGACGTCATCAGTTCTTCGGTGACCACTCTTCAGTCCATTGGAATTGTAGACCGTTCGTGGATCCTACCCTATTTGGCCTCATTCCTACATCGCTCCGAATCAATTGAATAGATGACCGCTATCTTCCAAGAAATTACCCAACACAAGTTGCTGCAGGGAATTAGCGGATTCGAGCTCCTCGTCCTCCGTCACATCCTTCAGCATTTCTTGAAACGACTTTACCGTTGAATCACTTGAACACGCTGCAAGAAATGGAACTGGGAATTGTCAAGAGCAAAGCATTTTTGTGCACAGTATTTTTATTTAATGACCTGTTGGCGACTATTGACTGCATTCTATTCTATGCCATCATTACAGTACGATGTAGTATCACAGAGGGGCCACTCGTGCAGATGGTTTGTACTGACATCAAAACGTAGTGAGCTGCGTAGACTTTAATGTGCAACGACACCAAGTTATAGCGTACGCCAAAACTAACGCGCATAGACAACGACGTAAAAAAAAATGTAACATGTACACTATAAACACGAAACTTGGGTTTCCCACTAAAAATGTATACAATAAGAACTGGTGATGGTACGAGTCACCAAATGTTTGGTCGGTCGGTTATCACAACGACTTCAGAAAACACACCATTTTAGATAATAGATAAAACGTTTAATCTAGCTAGCTTGCTTACCGGTAGTATAGAAACCCCCAGAGCGATTCGAGTATGCGGCGTATTATTCCAGGTTTAGAGATTTTCCAACGCAAGATATGGACAAGAAGTGCGCATCATTCATGGTAGAGATGTGGTCTTTTCCCCAGCGTGACTCAACATGACCCGCCCAAGTCAAAGTGAGAGCCATTCACACCTGCAACAGCTGGGATTTGGTTGACGCCATCGTCGACTGTGACGATGACAAGCTGGAATCAAAAACTGATGTGTCTATCGGACCGTCATAGCCCACTCCCCCCACGTTATCCCTCACTCATTCCGAGATCTACCAGATCAACAACAAGCAACGAGATGGACACGATAGACGCCGATATTCTCGCGCAATTCCTGCGAGAATGCGAGCCTCCAACGCCTCCTTCTGCATCCTCATCAAGCTGCCTGGGACCGGTTCCTACCAACTTTATTAG